AGTAGTAATATTAAATCTCTGTTTCACCAAGGTCGTAATATTTCCGCGAAGAGTGGTAATAAATTATTACCTTCTAGACATTCGTCAAAATTACCGTCGTAATGTGCGGTTACTGTGTAGTCTGTAATTATATTTAAATAGTAAAACAATCAGTAAAATTAGATAAATTACTGTAATGTACACATATATATATATGTACTTAGTATCGAAGTAATAAAACCTCTTTTATTTTTCCTGAAAAATTGATTTTGCTTTATGACTTTGGTCCCGGGGCAAGCTATAGTTTTTATACTTACAATAATTTCAGACTTTGTAGATCTCTGAATGTGTCCTTACGCACGCAAGATATCTCGTTTGAGTTCAATAACCTGTTGACAGAAAAGTAGAATGATTTGACTATGTTCATATATGGAAAACTAAGAAAAATACATCAAATAAAAAGCGAAAAACAAAAGAGATAGATTCCTTACATTACCTTCAAACAGAAGTGGCCATGGGCGGGGCATTTAGCAAGATACACAGATAATAGGAGGACTTTAAAGACAAATCGACAGGTACAACTGGTAATAAATGTAAAATTAGAAGCATTTAATGTATAATGTATATTTATTTTTTGACGTTCATACTACGTGCTACCTATATGAATAATATGTTCAGGGTATGGCTTCCACACATACGGAAATGTTGGAACTTACAGCAATTGCAGAGATGTCAGGCCATGGAAGATCCCTGATGGTAAATCCTTTATTTTATTCCCGTACAGCACTCTGAAAAAGAAACAATTTCTCAGAACATAATTATTTGGTTTGGGCAACTCGAAATTATCGAAGTTCTGGCGGCTGGTGACTTCACCGAACGAAGTATTTTCTTTTATATTTATTTATTAAAGTTCAGCATAAATTGATTTATCTGCAGTTATATGTTACAACCTATCTTTTCTTAAATAAATGACAACTATGGTGATTAGAAATTGTACAAAAAAAATTACACTTTCATTTTTTGTTTGAACTACTATTTGGCTTATAATCTCCTACCTTGAAGGGAGATGCTGACCAAAAATATCATAATATCAGTTCGAATGATGAGCTGTGCATCAATGGGTTGCGGTAAAGGTAGTTGAAAGACTGAAACTCAACGCCATGACAGATAATGCATGTCGATAAAACAGAGCAAGCGCCAACTAGCGGCCCCGACTGTTTTACCGACGTTTGAACGCATCGTATTAATTTACTCCCATCATTTTTCCGTAAGCGCCATACTGACTTCAAAAACTTACAGTGATGTCAGATGAATAAGTCCATTAAAGGCATCACCAGCGATGTCAGCTATCTTGTTGTTGGAGAGATCGATTCTGGCAACTCGCTTCACGGATGAAAACGCACCAGCTGGTACTTCTGTGAGCTCGTTGTTCTCCAAGCGTCTGAAAGATGAATTCAATTTAATAAACAATGTATTCCACTGGGATGTATGGAAACATACATAATAATAAAAGCCGTTTATTTATAGACATAGACATAAAATTTTGTGGTCCAAATAAAAAAAAAAACATTTATTTCTACCGAAACACACTCACAGAACACACAAAATAATAATCAAAAAATAACAAAAAATTATGGAAAAAAAAAGGAATAAGGTACATTTAAAGTGTGTACTGTGTGTGTGTTCCACAGCGTTGGTCATTCTTCCAGAGACCACAGCATGTAGTTTGCGGCTCAGATACAAAAAAAAAGGGTGCGTGTACTTATGTACGCGCGTAAGAAGTTATACTTCTTTGGCATTATTAAAAATAGTTTGGCTTTGTTCCACCTCCAGTTTTTGATGTTTCACAGCGATAAGATGACAACTCTTTTTTTTGTATTCAATTTAGTGCACTTACACTGATTCATCAATTGTTTTTTGTCTCTTGTCCTTATATTTGCTAGAGAAAAATTACATGTTTTGATTAAACAATGTGGTAATTTTTTTAATCAAAACATTACTCGATAATAATAATACAAACTGATAGTTAACCTCAATTGTAATGAAGCACTTAGGAAGGTTGATGAGCACAGTTTTTTCACAAATATTAATTAGTATTGGTTTAAATATTCAATTTAAATCACTTCTGATTATATATAATTCAAAAAGCATTGCTAAATTTCTTTGAAAAAATAATTAAAACTCCTTTATTTGTTTAAAAGGTAAATGACAAATGTCATTATGGTCATACAAAATTCTTGGCATACGAACTTCACGCATATTCTATTTCTTTTTACTTGTAGATTGTCTTATTCCTATCTCGCTCGCGCACGCTATAATCACACTCCTAATTTTGTGTCACAGGTGCGCGCGCATCGTAAAATTTCACTCTCATAAATTTTTCATAACGCGCCTAAAGAAGTATAACTTCAAAAATATAAAGAATGTAATAAAAATATTAGTAAAAATAAACAAATATATATATATATAATAAATGTTAGTAAAGAAGTCTTGGAAGATTTGTGTGTAAAAGTATACAGTAAATAAAAAACTAAAACTACAATAAGAAATAGATAATTAAATATTTAAGAAGATATACCATATAATAAGCACACCAATACATCTATCCCGACCCAACTCCGTCTGTCTGTCTACCATATTCCGACAGCGAATTATATCTTATTTCGGCCATACATTGCGCAGAGGCGATGAGAAACTTGGAGAAACTAATCGTGGTTGGTAACACAGAAGGTTACGTTCATCAACCAGATGGACCGATCAAGTGAAAGACTCATCGTCCTCAAAACTGTACACTGTCAAAAGAGAGGCGCTGGACAGAAACAGGTAGACACAGTCCGTTCCAGATGTTTCCTTGCTGACCACGACGCTCAGACATCAGCTCCCGATTGAATAAAGAGAGAGAGAGCGATTTTAGATTTATATTTCTATCATATTTACTACTACTATCTCCCATTTACCGGCTGTTTCCCTAGTCTGGTGTATCCTTCTAAATTTTCTTCCTCGTTTGTTTGTTTTTTTTTTATAGAACGGGGGGCAAACGGGCAGGAGGCTCACCTGATGTTAAGTGATACCGCCCATGGACACTCAATGCCAGAGGGCTCGCGAGTGCGTTGCCGGTTTAACCTTGGACACCAATATAGTACTTCAAACATGAAATGAAGGTGAGTTCCAATGGACTGACTGTGGTTTTTAGATCCAAAATTCCATTTCTCTCACAACTTAATCTTCAACGTGTGCAGATTCCGTACCTGGAGTCGCTTCAAGGCCCTCAGAATCAAAAGCCTGAAGACTTGCTTTAACCACGATGCCTATATGCTTTTGGACAACTATCTTTGAGCTATTAGCATGAGATGCAAGTTTTTAAGAGAACCTGGCCAATACTGATACTTACATTTCAGTAGCTCTGTGTGGAATATTATCTGGCAGTCGTGTCAGCATCTTCTCTCGACAGTCAACGGTGCCATCACCGGCGCATCGACAAGCAGCAGGGCAACGCGCCTCCGAAGAGCATTCCGATGTTATGGCACTCGCTGGACCTGATGTTTTATAATAATAAATCATTTTGGGAAGAAAGTGGTACATTCAGATTGATTAATTATGAAAAAAAACCGTACAATCAGCCATATAAAATAAAATATGTTATTTATGGAACATAAGATACAGGTATCACTTATTCCCATCCCTACACGTCGGCAAAGAAGACAGAGGGTGTAGGCCGAGAGAAAAAGACGGCGTAAAAAACTCTCGGTACTCTTTTAAAATAGCAAACCATCAAACAACACTTATTTTAAAACAAATCGCAAATTAATTAGAAGTAGCCTGTCTAGCGCTAGTCCCAGGCCCTTTTATCAACTAGATAATCGTTAACTTTATAGTGACCCTTTTTGCACAGCTTTTCTTTAATACATTTCTTAAATTTACTAAAAGGCAGAGATAAAAGAGCCTCTGGGATTTTATTAAAGAGTATCCCTTTTCCCAAAAAAGAATTACTAACTTTAGATACTCTAGTACGGGCAAATTGCAGCCTGCGTTTGTTCCGAGTATTAACATTATGCGTATGTCCTATTCTAGTAAACTTATCACTATTTTTGTATACATAGCCAGAGGGTGTAGGCCGAGAGAAAAAGCCGGCGTAAAAAACTCTCGGTACTCTTTTAAAATATTATACAAAATGACTGGCAAACATAGATAGAAGAAACCAGAAAGGAGGGAGATACGGCACGCACTTTATTATTAAACTCACAACTCAACAACTCTTCGGAACATGTTAAATCCTGTAGAAGATGCAGAGAGACCCCTCGGACCCCAAGCCGCTCGGATGGTGACTGGTCGTCGACGATTCGAATCATTCTTTATTGAATACGGTCATAATAATACTTGGTTTCTTACCAGAACAGACAAGTTCATGAGGTTCTATTTCGCTGAGGAACGCACCACGGAGAGCCGCAGGCGATTGGCATCTGGAATACATTTTTTTTTATTAATTTCAAACCACTTCAGTATCATCGTATAAACGTATCACGGTTTGTATTTAAAACCGAAATGGCTCGACCGATTTTCGTGAAATTTTGTGTGCATATCATAATGTTAAGGGTAGTCCAGCCCTAAATTTTATTTTTTAGACAAATTGTTCGTTTATTATTATACAGCATCCAAAAATACATACAACCCTTAATTTTCACCCCTCTACGATCAACCTCTATTATTTATTATTGGTTCTGCTCCTCAGCATAATGCTGAGCCAGGGCCAATTACAACCACATCACACACGCATTACACACTTAAAATAAACCTTGTTCTTTAAAAAAAAATTGTTTTTTATTTTTTTATATTTTATTATTGATATTTCGTGTGTGTGTTTTGTTAGCAATAAATGTTATGTCTATGCTTATTTTTATTGAACTAAAAATAAGTTAGTAATTGTTTCCTATAATATACATGGCATGCCGGCACAGCTAGTAAACTATATTAATTTCATTTCCAGCTGACCGAATCCAGGACTCGTCTTCAACTTTCCAACGTTACCTCGCTCCCACGCCCATAACACCAGCAGCGCGCACCGCTGCACTGAGCCGCGCGACCCGACAATCACATACAATGGGATTGTCGGCCAATCGCAAAGCGTGCAGACGCGCCACCAGCGCTGCCTCCACTGACAGAGATGTCAGGTTGTTGTTGCTCAACGTCCTGGAATAGAAATCGGAATTTTATTACAGAAAACCGCTCAATATACCGCTCTCTCGCCTCCGTCAATGTTCCAGCCATGTTGGAGCCATCGAAAGTGACAGGCTTTGGGGTGCTACTTGTGTGGACACGTAAGGGGCTCACCTTCCTCGAGCAAAAAAACTGGGGCGGCCGCAGAGCAGACGGAAAATAAGAGTGATCCAACTTCGATTTTGTTCCCTTTTGAGTAGTCTTGGGCCGTGGGGTTCAAGTGCAAGTGCGTTACCTGCCTTTTAAGAACTTATAGAGCAGAAAGTAAACCGGGCAGGAGGCCTATCTGATGTTAAGGAATACCACTCATGGACACTCACATTGCCAGAGAGCTCGCAAGTGCGTTGCCGGCCTTTTAAGAATTGGTACGCTCTTTTTTTAACCGTAAGTCGTATTGGTTCGGAAATACTTCAGTGCCAAAAACAGCCTTAATGTGGTAGAAGATGCAGAGGAGACCCCACATCTCTATGCAGGTTTAAGGCATTTATTAAAAAGGTACTAGGGCATAATAAACTTACAGGTATTGCAAACTTTTGAGGTGTTCCAACGCCTTGTCATCGATGCATTTTATCTGGTTCCATCCCAGGTGTAACGACTTAAGTGCTGTAAGACCACGGAAAGTCCGTCGACTGATCGCTGACAGGTCATTACGGCTCAGGTCTCTGAAATACCAGGGTATTATAACTTAAAAGATGTTTCAATTTAATGTCTGGTTCGCCCGCAGCAGGCCATTGGAGAGAGAATCTTATTGACTTGGCGAAGGAAAGAGAGAAATGGAGAAGGCCCTCGTGAAAAGGTACTTACAACTAAAAAACAAAGATTTGTTTTGTTAAATTGTATTTGTACTGTTTGTTGCACATTTTAAATCTCATCCTAAATACTTGTTTATTAAAAAAAGTGCGTGCGTACAAAGTACACATGTCAGAAGTGAAACTTCTTTGTAAATTAATTATTACTAAGGTAAAAGCCTCAATAGATGATCATGTACCAGTATATGATCACTCCATGTATTTGTATATCTATATTCACACTGTATACGTGCTAATAATATAAATAAATAAAAAATCTGCGTTCACTGCAAAAGACGTTATGCGCCAGAATTGCCATCTAAAGTTCTATTATGTAACAACTAAACGAATACTATAGCTCTCTCGCACCTCTCGCTCCATGGTACTGTGCGTGATGCGACGATCACTCTATCTCACTCTCACTTTCAATCGCTCTCCCTTTTCTTCGACAAAAACGCTGCACATCTTCGGGACGCTTATATTATTATTATGGCGTTTCATCCGTAAAAATTTTACCCTTATGCGCCTAAAGAAGTTTCACTTCAATAATAATAATTAATTCCATAAAAATAAATAAACAGCCTGCGCGTTCTTGTCTCTCAGACTACGTACAAATTGTCTAACACTTTGCGACTAATCTATTGTACTGATGAAACTGTTCCTGCTACCTCGCAATCTGCGTAAAAGTGACTTTCTTTTCATTCACCCAGTCATCTGCCCTGCGTTTCTGTAACTCACTTTTCGAACTCACACAGCGGTTTTCGCATCGGCGGTCGCTCTCAAATCAGTCGTGAAGCAGTCATTTTATGATTTGGCATTCTGATAAACAATAAACTACAAGCTCCCACCTTTTCATCCCCCATCCCATCTTTTCCGATGCGAAAACCGCTGTGTGAGTTCGAAAAGTGAGTTACAGAATCGCAGGGCAGAGCCTGGGCAATTAATGCAACGTAACTGAGTAGAGATTTCTCGTCTTTTCTCCTGTTTTGATATTGTTATGTAAGGTATTATTTTTATTAAATTATCTCCTAAAATACGCAGGGCGAGAGAGGAACCACAAGAACAAAAAACTTGGCGATTAAAAAGAGAGGCGGAGAGTTTGTTGCCAGTTCTTCTCTTCCGTTATACGCCCTTGATTTGAGAAATGCAAATGGAACATTATAAGCATTTAATGTATATTTCTTTTTTGACGTTCATAAGTGTACATTGTGTTACCTATTAATAAATGATTTTGATTTTGATAAAGTTGAGTCTCAAGTCAAGTCTCATTGCTAAATTTTAATTGCTTCTAAGATCTAAGCACTTCACTGGATTTAAAACAAATCGTTTCTTTGACAAAGGCCTGGGGGCCTTTGTGATGATGATGATGATAAAATTATTATTACAATAAAATCCCTATGTCTAATTTTAATGGAAAGAACTGTACAAAAGTATATGAACGACGAATGGGCCAATCAAAGAGCTCCATTTACTTGCGATGATCTGATTGGCTGATTACGGTGGTATGGTCCTGACAAGATTCTACTATTAAGTAAAGCAATATTTGCAATGCACGACAATTGCGGTACATATTATGATTGCTTTAGGATATATTGTTTATTAGTAATCATACCAATCAAATATACATTATTTACAATTTTCTTAACCAACTGGTAATAATAATAATTAAAAATTACTAAAAAGAAAATTAAAACAAATTTAAAAAGTTTGGTCCCTGTGGCAGTGTACCTGTAACGCTGGCAGCAATCGCTGTATTGCGATACTTATTCGATAAGGAAAGCACCAGCTCTGGGGTCACCGGCACTACCAGGTGCCAACTTAAATCTTTAATTAGCTCATAGCTGTGCACTTGAACCCCACGGCCCAAGAGTCTCTACTCCAAATGGAATAAAATCGAAGTTGGATGAAGGACTGTTATATTTGAGCCGTTTTTTATTTTAATAATTATTTATGTATTATATATTGTATTGTAAATATAAGAAATAATAAGTTTTTTTTCTATTTTAAAAAATTCAAATAAATAAAATCTTTGGAAAACACTTGTCGGAGCAGTATCGATATAAGTTGGTGTTTCTTCTGTTTCTGAAGATGAGATATTTTTTTTTTTTTTTTAGACAATTCACACCAATTGACCTAGTCCCATGCTAAGCTAAGCTTGTGTTATGGGTACTAGGCAACGGATATACATACATATTATAGATAGATAGACTTATAAATACATATTTAAACACCCAAGACCTAAGCACAACACCAAATGCTCATCACATCGATGTTTGTCTCAGCCGGGGATCGAACCCGGGACCCATGGATTCGCAGTCAGGGGTACTAACCACTAGACCAATGAGCCGTCAACGTCGATATAACACTTTCAATCCTCAATATTTTCTTTTGATGCGTTATAATAATGATATCATCACTATCTGCTCTCGCCATCCTCAGAATCACTAGGTATCAACGTCCGAAATGGCACAGCAATGTAATTAAACAAATCTTAATATATATAAATTACGTGTCACGTTGTTTGTCCGCTATGGACTCCTAAACTACCGAACCGATATCAATCAAATTTGCACACCGTGTGCAGTTTGATCTAACTTAAAAGATAGGATAGCTTACATCTCAATTTATACACGAAATATTATTTAATTGCAAAATATTTGTTTATTATTTGACACAATTCTAACAGATGGCGCTGTATTAAAAGTACCAACGTTTCAAATAAGCTAAAATTTAATGGCATTACCACCAAAGCATGGTGGTCCCCATGACTGGTGTTCTCCTACCGCTTCCCTTGAATAGTTTTCTACTATGTTATATAACAAAAACCTTAGCCACAGCAACGCTTGGCCAGTCTGCTAGTAATATATATATAAAACGGTAAAAAATTATTTGAATGTACAAATATTACAAATTACGCGTTAGTGTAGAACCCGCATGAACTCGCAGCAGTCAAACGGTTGAATAAACTCTTTCATATTTCTAGAATATTCTACGTATTTAATAACTTTTAAATATCACCCTCAGGGAGCTGAGTTCCAAATATCTGCAACTGAATAATTAATAAGACCGCAGGCGTTGTACCCGAACACGAAATTCTGGGGAGGAGGCACTACTAATATTAAAGCGAAAGTTTGTATGAATGTATGTTTGTTAGTCTTTCACGTAAAAACTACTGAATGGATTTTATTGAAACTTTACAGTAATATAAGCTTATACATCAGAATAACACATAGGCTACTTTATAAAGATATTGTGTGTATTGTCCAAAATATCGAAGTAGGAAAAAACCTACCATCTGCGAGCTATTCTGGCGTGCGCTGCCAAAACCGCTAGAGTTACACATATGTAATGTATGATGGATATATTTATCTTAAATAGTTCTACACACAATCCCGCCGCAGTATATATCTATATATTATGTGTAAGCCATTATAGCCAAACTAGTAAACCATAACTACAATACAAATCCACATTTGGTAGTAATAAATTGATTCCTAAATGAAAATAGATACTTTTATCGCTTCTGGTTTTTAATGTAGATAAAAGGTCTTTCACGCTACATCATTTGGAAAAATATTATTTTAATTCTACGCAGACGAAGTCGCGAGCACCAGCTAGTTTATTACTATATTCACGCCTTTTTTCCAAAAAGGTAGGCATCACAGATCTCCAGTTGCAACGGAGGCTGTTTCAGCGCAGAGGAATCAGTCACCCACGTAGTCCTGGAATGCGAGGTTCGATTCCTGGCTGTGCACCAATGAACTTTCTATGTACCTACGCATTTAATATTTGCTCGAACGGTGAAGGAAAACATCGTAAGGAAACCGACATGTCTCAGACACAAAGTCGACGGCGTGTGTCAGGCCTACTAGATTGAAAAATGATCATGAAACAGATTCAGACATCTGAGGCCCAGACCTAAGGAGGCTGTAGCGCCACTGATTTATTTATTTTATTATTAAAAACATCTACTTACTCAACAAAAATGCCACTAAATCTAGTTTTTAAGAAAGAAATATTTATTTATCTATTTCTTAACAATTATTCTTATTTTTAATTTTATTTACTTACACTTTTGCTAATATTATTATTTTCTACTAAGTATTAGTATAATATACATTATTTTTCTGTTTTTGAGATTGTGGCGTGATAGCTGCTGTGGTCTCTGGAATGGCCAGCGCTGTGGAACAGTCTGCTCCTCAGCATAATGCTGAGCCAGGGCCAATTACAACCACAGCACACACACACATTACACACTTGAAACGTACCTTCTCTAAAAGAAAAACAATGTATTGTTTCATTCTTTTTTGATTAATGTTATTTTGTGTGTTTCTGTGTTTGTTGTGTTAGTAATAAATGTTATATCTATATGTTATATTTTTTAGGCGTTTTAAGTAAATAGGCCGCATCCATTTTTCATAGTCGCGTTCCTCTTTGTCTGAAATCTATTAGGGTACTGCGGTATTAATATTCCAAGACAATTACGCTCATTCCCATTTCACATTCATGTTAAATTATTTCGATTCTAAGTTAGTTCCAACTACATATCTTAATATATATATTTCTTCTGTGCGTGTGTATGTGACTGAACTCCTCTCAAACGACTGGACCGATTTTGATGAAATTTTTTGTGTGTGTTCAAGGGGATCTGGGAATGGTTTAGATTCACAAATCAGCCCGGCAGATGGCACTGCAGTCGGTACTTTCATACTTTGCTTAATATCCTAATCGCTTTAAATATCATGCAGGACAACGTCTGTGGGGTCCACTAGTATATTATATATATGTATATTTCAGTGTCATTACAATATTTGAAGCCTGTGACAAGAAGGCTTTTGATTTTTTCACAAGTGCACAGCTTAATGCTTAATGAATAAGTATCGCAATACACCCACGAAATGCTGCATAAAATTACACTGGGACCAAACTTTATAAATTTGTTTTAATTTTCTATTTATCAATTTTAAGCTATTGCATAGATTTTATCGCGGGCTTTCGCGGACACGCGCAACTTTTAGATATTAACAGAATTAAAAAAAAAATGTTTAATATGGACCATAAGATACATGTATCACTTATTCCACGTCATCAAATTTGAACTTTTAGGCATCCCTACTCATCGGCAAAGAAGACAGAGGGTGTAGGCCGAGAGAAAAAGCCGGCGTAAAAAACTCTCGGTAAGTACTCTTTTAAAACAGCAAATCATCAAACAACACTTATTTAAAACAAATATCGCAAATTAATTAGAAGTAGCCTGTCTAGCACTAGTCCCAGGCCCTTTTATCAACTAGATAATCCAACCAATTTGTATCGGTTTTACACTCACTAATAAATAGTGTAGGTTTTTGACATCATGTCAAATAGTCGATAAGGGTTCACGAAGCAGGTGACACAAATGTCAGAGTCGAATACAAAAGTGTGAATTATTCCTCTCGAGTTCTCCAAAGTATTGTGTTTTGAGAGCGCTATTAGTCTTTGTGCCGCACTCGAAGTGCGCAAAATGGCGTGTCTAAAGCTTAGGCCGCACTGTGTAACCGCAAAACCGTATAGTAAATTTTAATAGCGTAAAATGTGTTTTATTAAAACCATATCAAAACATCACTTATTAAAAATCATACCATGCAGTTCTTTGACCGTACAAAGTGAGATAGCGGCCCATCCCGGCCTCGCAAGGGTGGATATTTATTTTTTAAACATTTTGGCATACACTTACAGTAAATGCAGGACGTACATACATTTATTTAGTTAAGAATTAAGACAAAAGTATAATAAATGGTCTGATTTTGGTCGGAATTTCTATTAAATATTAAAATGTAGTTATAGTGACATAACTACAATACTTAAGGTGCGCTTACACGGGCAATTAAAATTGCTCAATTCCAGTCAATACTCGTCAATTATGACGTCACGACTACATCAAGCAATTTACGGCAACGGCAACAAGCATCAATACTGCGCAATACAATATTGAGCGATATGGCGCAACTTCATCAACTAGGCAATAATGTCCTACACGAGCATTTCAGTATTCGCTCGCTATGGACGACATTCTTCTTGCTGCGGCGGCTTGTAGCGCTTTTTTTATTATTCATCAAAAACAAAAAAGAAAGAAAAGGAAAAGGCGTCTGGTGCGTCAAATCTGGGTGCGATCGTTTTTGGCAAAGAGGCCGCAATTTTCATTGTGAAAATAAAATTAAACAATTAAAGAAAAAAATAATTAATTAATTAAATTTTTAATTTATTATTTTTTTAATTTTTCTTTAATTCTTTAATTTAATTGTTTTTTTTTCAAGAATTAGATAATATATTATTCAAAAACTTTACTAGAATGTCACGAACATACTTTGAATTACTTTTGAATAAAGTAATTAGAAATTATTATTATTTAGACCTCTCGCTGTCCCCGCGGAAGCAAGACGGCAAGCCGCAAAACAAACAAGTGCGAATGAGACATATACAAAAATTGCTAGGAATTTCCAAGTCCATTGGATATTCGTCAATTCGTATCTGCGACATTGAGCGATATGAAATATCTGGAGCAATTAGAAGCAATATCGCCGAAATAATTTATTGAATTTATTGAAATTGCTCCATTAATTGCTCCAGATCGGTCCATTCGTATCGCCGAGCAATTATTGCCCTCGTGTAAGCGCACCATTAGACACATGCTATCCTAGATACCGATATGTTCTTTAATATTGTGGAACATTTTTTGTTCTATCATCAATAGTTTTCGCAGCGCACGCTATGAAAGATATTTTATAGGAATTTTTTACACCTTGGGTAACATTATTGTATTTTTAGTAGGGATCCTCATTTTTTCTTGCAATTAAAATCCTATATTAATCAGTGATAAAGTAGCATTCAAATGGTGAAATAATTATTAAAATCCGTCCAGTACTTTTTGAGCCAATTCGTTACAAACATACTTATAATAATAAACATATAAATCTTTTCACCATAGATTTAAGTCAAAAAACTCACTACTATTGTAACCTTATTGTATAAAATAAATAATTATTTTTGCAATTAATGAAAGAAGTGGGTGGCTACATAGATTTATAAAATTACGCGGTTAAAACCCGCAACTGTTCACCCAGTGTGTCCTTAGCATTATTGAACCCACGTTTAAATTTAAGAACCCTTTGATAACTATTTGTTAGGTGAGAAATTAAGGGTGCAATAGTGGTAAAATCTGCCAAATGGTAGAGGTACAAACAGATATTTACATGTTAATGAGAAGAACTTTCATATAGTTTTTAATATATATTTTTTAAGAGAAAAATAAATCAGTGGCACTGCTTTTTTTAGGTCTGGGCCTCATATTTCTATATAAATTTTATGATATGCCAATCTAAAAGGCAAGTAGGTGATCAGGCTGTGGCTGACACACGGCAACTTTTTGAATCTAAGGCAAGCCGGTTTCCTTATGATTTTTAACTTCTTTCAGAAAATTAAAACATTATACATTTATTATTATTATGAAAGTTAAGAATATTGTAAATACAGTCGACTCTCGATAATTTGAAACTCAAGGGACCAGAGATAAATTTCAAATTATCAAGAATTCAAATAACAAGTGTTTCAATAACCACGAGGGGGAGGGGCGACTGAAGGAAATTTGATCAAAATTTGTTACTTATTATTTCTAAATTCTTATTATGTATTAACAATTATTATAACAATTATTCACAAATTTTTATCAAGACAAGTCTGTGCATGTATGTAAACAAACGACAGGTATGTGCATGATAAACGCTTCAAATTATAGAGAGTAGGGAAGACCGGATTTCAAATGGCATGTTGGCGAGCAAGATAATACTTTTTCAACTTCAAATTACCGAAGGGACCATTGATACATCATTGATTTTATACAATTTATCGAGTATTTTTCAAGGGACCGGTTATTTTTCAAATTAACGAGAGATTCAAATTAACGAGTGTCAAATTATCGAGAGTCGACTGTAATATATATTTGTGTGCTATTTTGTAATTTAATTTGAATATTTAGAATAAATATTCGTTTTAGTCAATTATACTGATAACCCGAGTAGCGATTATGTTTACAAACCTTTAATAAATTACTTTAGTCAATTATTTTCCACTTCTAAAACAATAAAAGCTCAAACAAAACTCATTAGCGTTCCTCGTTTCCGGTAAGATGGCCGCACTTCCGGCGCTCAGTCTACAGGACTTCCGGTCCCTCTTACGGGACTATAATGACGTTCATTTTATTTCTCTTTACGAATTGCGTGTAATTTTAAAATATATAAAACCTTTAAGCTTATTAAATTAGCATTTATGACCATTATTTTACATATTTTTTTTCCTATTGCCTCCCTAGTTACATGTTATTATATACTATTAATGTATTTAATAAATAAATTGGAATCAAAACATTTTTTTTGCTAATTAATAAACGGCTCAAACATTAGAGTCCCTTTGGAGTAGTCTTGGGAACAAAATCGAAGTTGGAGGAAAGACTCTTATAGATGAGGTTTTTTTTTTTAATGGCTCTGGCACGATTTGTGCATTAGCCAGCGTCAAGTATAGGATTTTTTATAATTCGTGCTTGTCTTTACAAATTCGACCGTGTCCTCCATGTACGGTTTAGGCACTCGCCCGGTACCGCACAACCCTCCCAAAGGCCGAGAACAAATTTAAATTAAATTAAACCCTCGAACCGGGAATCGAACCCGGTACCCCACACCTAGCTGCGACTTAATAAGACCGCTAGGCTATGAGGCCCCCAGGTGAGGGTTTTGCCTGAGTAGGATTAAATTAAACTATACTACTCCAAGAGGTTTGTCTAAAATACTTTTTAAAATACCTAAGTGTAATGCTAGTAATAGCTAGTCTATGTCTGATTATTGAATTACGCCAAATTCGTTTAAAAATGTTTTATAAAGGATATGTTTGACAGTTGTAGAGTAATTAAATCTAGCATCCGAATAAGATGAGTCATGCGTCACTGCAAAGCTTTGTCGATGACAATTGACATCGCTGTCAGTCAACTCCGACATAGACTTCATTTGACAGGATGGAAAATAGGTGTTTTTGAAAGTGTATAAAATATGGCTTTAAAAAGCGTTATTAATATAACTTGTAAATCAGTAATTTATAAAAAAATATAAACATATTGATTTAAGTCACGTGACACAAGGTCACAGATTAATCGATAGTGACATAGCTTGTAAAAGTCTTCGTCTGTCTTACACTTCAATTTCGTCAGAGTATTTTTGATCGAAGAATAATATATGTATTTGTAATATATATGTGTTCGAATTCTTCGCGATTTTAACGGATTGAACAGTTCTTATCCGGAGCTGGATATATTCGGTAGTGGGCTGATCGGTTTTAGAGAAAGCATTGTGGGGTGTCTTTCTCGAACCTAATTTCGCTGTTTTTCTGATGATTTTTCTTTTTTTTTTCATTTTTGTTTTATTTTATGTTTATGTGTGTATTGTCGTGTGTGTTTCAGTTGTATTTTTTTTTTTAAATTTCTATTTGATTTTTTTTTTTGACTTATGCTTGCGTTGATTGTCGCACATTTTGGATGTAAGATTTTGTGAAATAATTGGTAGATTTAGGATTGTGTGTGATGTCGTGGGCTTGATAACTAAATAAATAAATAAAAATAAATAAAATAAATATTTGTATAAATTAAGAATGATAATTATTGTAACAAAACCTTGGCGTTTGTTTTCTTGTTTACGGTACGTTATAGACAGGTACGAGACATCTTGTATAGAGAAGCGTTTTGGCGGGTAAAATAATAAATGTTTTATTTCAATTTTTACTAAACAGAATTAGAAGCAACAAGCAAACCTACAAATATAGTGACTAATGAATAATCTGTAATGATTTTTGAAATCTTGTCAAACAGCCTATTCTGTGTTCGAAATTGTTTTCATTCAATTCAAGTAATTTTCAACAATGAGGCGATATTCACTGACTTATTTAAAAAACTATTTTTATAAGAATAATATACATATATTAATATTTCCTTTATTGCGCAATTAATAAATAAGTCAGTTAAAATATTGAATTGCGCCCGCCATTTTGTGGCATTCCACAAGATGGCGTTTGTGCTCTCAGCGAAATTGCCCTAATTAATTGGCTCTAAAATTTCGTGTGAGAGTATTATAATTATATTACACCAGGGTATTATTTCATAAGAGAGCTCTCAGGTTTATGCCATGACCTGTATTCCGCTTCGTATTTGATGACACAATATTGCCTTGAGAACTGTCAGATGTCAAACTTCAAATGCCAAAGTTGGTTCCATTAACAATTACGAAGCGCTTTTTGTCTTTATTATAATTATTAAAATATAAATTTAATTAGAGTTTTCTTGTACATAAACCATTAGCATTTTTTTTATCGTCACACTAAATTTATGGAGGCTGACTTGAAGAGAACAAGGCAAGAAGTCAAGGGAAAATACTGGTAATAGTTTCCAATCATTACAAAACAAAGAAAAGGCGCATGAGCGTAATTTTTTTACGTATGAAACGCAATAATAATAATATTAGCGTCACGAAGATGTGCAGCGTTTTTGTCGAAGGAAAGGGAGAGAGCGATTGAAAGAGAGAGTGAGAAAGGCGAATTCCCTTTCTAGAAATTCAATTTTTTAAATTAAAGTTTCGTAAAGAGAAT